ACATTCGCTTATTCAAATGTTGCGGTAGACCCATTTAGCAACATTTAACAACCGAATGTTGCCTTTTATATGTTGCAAATGCCCTTTTTTGGTGTAGTGTATGGCCACTGATTCATCATCATAGAAGCTAAAGTTCACATAGTATACACCGAGATGTTTGAAGGACAAGAGACTCAAGCCTATCATATTAAGACCCTTTTATCTGTTCTTAGCATGTTTGATTTCACCCCTTTTGTTTTGTATTTATTTTTCTTTTTCTTTGTACTTAAATTTATACCTTTAAGTTTAAAGATTATCTTCTCAAGAACTAGGTTTATCCTTCACAAACTGGGTCTGAATTTATAGAATGATCCCATCACGCATCGTGTTTTACNCAAGAACTAGGTTTATCCTTCACAAACTGGGTCTGAATTTATAGAATAATCCCATCACGCATCGTGTTTTACTTTGTAGAATGTTATGTCACGAACTGTGTTTAAATTAATAGAATGATCATATAACTAACTTGACCATTTGATCAAGAAGTTTTCGAAATCTAAACTAAGGTTCTCCTACTGGCGGTGGGCGATGTGACAGCGTGTAGATGGATGATAGTGGTCAACGGTGATTCGGTTCTGGTTTTTAATTTTGGGAGTGGGGGGTTTGGAGAAGATTATTTTTTTTGGTTTTTGATTTGACTATTTTAATTTTATTTTAGAAAATTTAAATTAATTATTTTACTCTTAGTTTGTCAAGTGGAGTCGAAGTACTAATTTTTGTATGGACTAATAGATTAATGGACAGAATCTATTGTTATCCTCTGGCTGCAGTCTAAGTGAAAGGTGTCGGATTCTGGTCTACAACAAATTAAAAGGTTTGGAACCCGCTGCAATTTTTCCATAATTTATTGAAAAGGAAAAGGGGTACTCCAATGTGTTAGACTTGATAAGCTTAGTAAATACTTCACTGTGAAGAAAATTGACGTTTTAAATAGCTTTCAGCCCGAAGGCTTTTAACGAGTATATCATGAATGTATACTTCCATTGTCTTGCTTATTTGATCCGGGAACATTTTATTTACTAATCTTTGATAAATGTCACCGGCATTTTTAATTCGAATGGCATTATCTTATAATAGTATAGTCTCCGATATGTTATGAAGGCAATATATTTCTCTTCTCGTCTATACATAGGGATTTGATTATACCTTGAATATGCATTCATAAAAAAAATTTCAACATGTTTTTCATAGGATATATTTTCAAGGGATAACATGCCGCTTTGGGATCTATAACTACCATATCAACATGTTTCCAAGTGAACACATCAAGATGTTCTTTAAAAAAAAATGTTCAGCTTGTTTTTCAAAGGATCGTTCAACTCTTGTCTAGTTTTAAAAGTTTTAGTTGTATCTTCTGGATTGAAGGAAAACTTTCTAGTTATTTGACTACTGTCGCTTTAGACATACGGCCAATTATGCGAGGATCAATTGAGTGATCGA